GAGCTCTAATTTATAATATTCAGGCACTAGCTTTGTATTCTTCATTGCACTTTCATATTCTTGTGTTACATGCCCATATTATGGTTGCAAGTTTATGTGAAAATGACTTGAATAAAATGTTTCAAGCGTTCTATTTGTTGAAGTAGTATACTTAATGCATAGGCCAGATCCATCTCTTGAAGAGAAAGCTTCAATTAAAGTTGTTATATCTATATGAAAATGCATGTCACACTGACATGGTCTCAGAAAAAATGACACGTTAGAAACAAGAAAGAAGTTGCAAGGCATGATAAATTACCTCTCACACTACACTAAGGCTTGACACGTGAAGGCGTAACAGGATGGTGTACGGTTCATCTGGATATAAGATTTCCTTATATCAGCTATCTTGGTAGGAACAGGAACTTAGAAACCATTTTCAGAATTTCTGCTCCAAAACCTTTACTTTCATGGAAAGAACATTTGAGCAGTCCATGGTAGAAAGTCTACATACTCTAGAAAATTGACTAACACATTTAACACTCAGTTACTCCAAAAACATTTTATCCTTTGTTATTTACATTCTCTGAGTACCAACCAGCGTCCTGCTGCCTCTTCAATCTGTATGCTAAACTGATGAAATAGCCTGAATTGTGAAGCATCTCTTGTCCCTGCACTGAGGGATCAATACAGAAGAGCATGGTTAAAAACTGTAGTTTCACTCCAGTAAGAGGTTGTCAAACACTTAAATATCAACTAATGGCACTCTTCGCTTTGAGTAAATGGAGACAAGAACAATGTAATACCTTTTAAAATTCATAAAATAAATGCAGAATTATTTCAGATATAAACAATGTTGTGATTATGTTTACATAATTTACTTAACAAAATTATTCCTATATTACTACATGTTAGAGCTAAGTGCTTCAAATTGAGAATTCCTGCAAGGGCTAACCCTAGAGCACAAAACTTGGTGTGGATCAGAATCCATGGAAATACAAAAATGCAGTCAAAAAATGCATACAATTACTGCAGAAAGTATATTCACATTTATTGAAAATAAAGCATCTCCTAGTTTCCAAGTATCTTCTACCTGCTATTCTACTATCTCATTTCCACATTAGAACACCTAGCTAGTATTGCAAAATGATCTGTCACCAGTCTACAGTTAGAAAGCAGCCCAACACTTTCGGTTAAGAAAGTACTGCTGTAACTGAATTTTCATTCAAGCCCTGTTTCTCCTGACCTAATCAGACCATAAAAACTGATGAAATATTTATGCCTGTTTCGAAATCTTCAAATTGGTGCTATCAATAGTATGCCTGTCTTTCTTATAAAAAAATCACATTTAAACTAATATTGACTCTCTTTAAAGATACTGAAAAAATCTCAGATAGTTTTGTCAGTATGTCTGAAGTGAAAAAAATGTGCACCTGAAGCAGTCTAGTAGTATCTTACAGTATGCACCCTGACTGAGAACACTTCCTCTGTGGCATGGTACTGAACGGGAAAGCATGGTTCTCAAAATTTTTTAAATCTAATCATCACAGAATGAAGTAACTTTCCGGTTCTCAAAGCTTTTTAAATCTTACCATCACAGAATGAAATAACTTTCCGTATCACTATAAAAATAAATTGGTAGTAGTTTGTGAGAGGTCTTTGTCTAAACAGTATTACAGATACAAGTTACGTTAAAATCATGTATATACTGAAAATGTTATGTTGTTATGAGGAGAAAATGTTCTGAACTTTATCAACAGCCTCCAGGCAAGTTCACTGGGTTTATCGTTTATTGCCTAGTTGCACATAAAAAATATTATCAAGTCTCAACCACCACTACTCATTTATATAGTGCATTAAGGCTGTGAACCAGGTGAGTCACTAAGTACCAGCTAAAAGTAGTAGTAAACCATTAAAACATGAAGCAATGCCAGCAATCGATGTCTCTTCTCTTATTCATGTTCAGTGTATGGTTTTTTTTTTTTTTTCCTTTTCTTTGAAGAGCTCAGAAGAAGTGTTTCTGAAGACAAAAAAAGAGATGTTTTGATAAGTCAGGCTTCCTTCAGGAAGAATTCTATGGCCACAAATTACAGCTGTAAGAATGGAGTAAGAAAATTGCTCAAATGCCAAGATAAACCAATGCTCCTGGATTTCTAAGCACATACAAAAAAGCACTTCAGAACATAAGCTACTTAATGAGTCTTCTCCCCCCCTACCCCCCACCCCCCCAACTATTTGCAATCTTTAACTTTCTGGTCTTTAATGTGAATCAATTCTTCAAATATGGTGCTCATGTGGTAGAAGAAAGATAAGCTGTCCATGAAAAACTGCATTATAGCTGATGACATCTACCAAAATAAATTTTTCTTGCCTTTTATTGGAACCAGAGAAGTCATATACCAAACATTTGTTTGGCGTAGCATTCAGCTAGGATTTATTTACTTACTTATTTAAATCATTAAGGATTAGCATTTGCATCTGGAAAACTTAAGAGAGTTTGTATATAGCAGGTAAATGCATGGCTTTTTCTACAAAACAGGACTTTTCACTACAAAACCACAGTAAACATGTTGCCATGTTGTATTTTGATGTATCTGGCCTTAAATGTTGTTCCATATGGTACAGTGAAAATAACAAAAAAATACACTGGGAAATGGAAGGTTACTTGAATTTCTAATTCCTCTGAGTGGCAATGCCATTCAGGAAGATAATACCACATATACTGACAGTTGTGTAGGATGCAGAAAAGAAAGCCTAACCAAGTGGGGCAAAGACACGCCTAGATAATAATACAAAATGGACCAACCAGAACATTTAGCCTTCAAGAACTTAATACGGGATGGGAGAATGGGCAGAAATTGCTGGGCTATGGTGCTGGGCTAAATATCAAGATACAAAGTCTGCAGGGGGGAGAGAGAGGTGGCCATACCAGCAACAGAGTAACACTACTTTAAAAAACCTTAAACTTTCTCCTGCCATTTGACTCTAATGTCATCCCAAGTGGAATACACTGAGGTATTACACAGTGACTACATGTTTTAGACACATCCACTAACTCCCCTGTGGAGCTGCTGATGGTTGGGGAGTCATTGCTTGACTCTGTCCTAAGCATACAAAATCACAAGGAGTAGATGATGTAGGAAGAGCCTCTGGGTATCAGTTAGTTCAAACCCACTGTCCAAGCAGGGTCACGTCGAGACGGTTACCCAGGACTGTGTCCAGTCAGGTTCTGAGTATGTCCAAGGATGGAGACTCCACAATCTTTCTGGGCACCTGTGCCAGTGCTCCGTCACCCTCACAGTGGAAAAGGTTCTTCTTGTTTAAGCAGGATTTCTTGTATTTCAATTAGTGCTCACTGCCTCTTGTCCTGCCAGCTGCTAGCACTGAGAAGAGCCTGGCTCGATTTTCTTTACACTCCCCCACGCAACAAGATCCCCCTGAGCCTTCTCTTCCCCCGAACAGCCCCAGCTCCCTCAGTCTCTATGTGTGTCATATACTTCAAGTCCTTAATCATCTTGGTCACCCTTTGCTGGACTCATTCTAGTCTATGCTTGTCCCTTGTGTACTAAGGAACCCAGAACCAGACCCAGCACTTCAGATGCGGCCTCACCAGTGCTGAGTACAGGGCAGCACCTCCCTCGTCCTGCTGGCAACACTAATGCAGCCCAAGAGGCTGTTGGCCTTCTTTGCCGAGACATAGAAAAAGATTGTTTTTCATAAGAGTGTAATACGTAGGAAGGACTTCTACACCTTAAGGGATTGCAGATTCCACAAGTTTACATGGATTTAAGAGCAGACAGATCTGCAGAAATCTGTTGAGGATTATTAAACACAATAAGCTTGTTCCTGAGCTATAAAACTGGAAGCTCAACAAGTTGCAAGTTGGATGAGGTATCACTGTGTGCTTCCTCTATCCCTATGTTTAAAGCATCCCTTTTTTAATACTGTTGAAAGTATTAGGCTAGATGGACCTGTGGTCTGATGCAGGGCTATTCTGAGACATTGCAAAATGCTACATGAATTGTACAGTGTATTATCTTATACACATTGCAGTCATTTACCAAGTTTCTGAATTAATTTGATTATGAAAGATACAAGATTATGAAAGATAACTATATTTAAATAAACAACACTGCTAAAGATTAATTAAAGTTCAGAACTTGCTTCAATTAAGCAGTAGGAAAAGCCCCTGAAGAAAAATACAATGAAGATTTTAGCTCATATCCCCATCAAATGAACTCCCAAACTCAGAATGGCACTTAAAAGTCAGATGTTTCTTCGTGTACAAAGACCCTTCAGTTTTTCAGCATTCTTTCAGGAAGTGCTAGGCAGACTTGTTGGAGCACCCAGATATATCCACCAGGACAATAGCATTGAAGACAGTCTTTCAGTTCTTAAAATTGTCAGTATAATCAAAGGACAGAGATCACAGTTTAGCAGGCCAATATTTTATTGCTCTCCAGAAATTTTTGTATCATGCATACTACTGATGATCTTTTCCAGCTACCTGATACATTCATAAATTTGTGAAGTCTGTTCAAGTTTAAAAATCTCTTACATTTTCTCAGTTGGGATGTATTTGATAATATAGTCCTAGGATTATCACCTAAGTATTTTCTATTTTCCCCTCTCTTTTGACATTCAAGTCCTCATATAAACTATATTTTTACACAAAAAAAAAAAGCTCCAAAGAACCTGTACTATTCCTACAGGGCACAAATGATGTTCCTAAAAAACATTAATTCATGTTAGGGTGCATTTCATAAATGGTGGCACTACATAATAGGATTTATGAACCAACACCATATGACCATGCATTAATCAACAGACAGCACACTGAATAAGTGAAGCAAACTTCATTATTAACAGACGGTAAATTCTAGCAGTTGCTATTTTACAGGCTGCAAAGGATAAGGAGAGTATAACAAAAAAGTTCAAACAGCAGCTGTTACTTCATAAGAAAATACCATGGGATGCAAATCTGCCAGAATATTTTTTTAAAATCTCCGTTTACATATAGTCTAGTCATCAAATTTAATCTTTTTCCCTTGGAATGCTGTAATTTGAGACATTTGTTCCCTGCGTCTCTTGCTTGCTTCCCATGATGGATGAAGAGGCTGCTCCAAACACGCTCTCTTATTGTCGCATTTAATACCTGCAGCTTTTGCAAATGGTTGCTTCTTGAGCTGTGGTTCCTTTTTAACAAGAGCTGTGCAAGAAGTACAAAATAAAACATTAATTACATCATGAACCTTCATAAAAATATGCTAAAACTACCTTGGGATTGAAGATATTTTCAAGAAGTTTTTAATGAGCCATGGTGAACACATTCATCTGAATGTTCACAGCAAGATTTCCCCATTTTGCAGCCCAGTAAATTGTCACTCGGTAGACTGCAGATAGTTAAGATTTATTATTACTGACCACATTCAGAATTTGTGTAGACAAATATTCAGCAAAGTCTGAAGTTTTTTCTTCACAATGAACCAATGAAATATTACACAATGTAACTCAATATGACACAAATTATATCCTTGATCCAATGAATTCAAAAATGGAACCATATACTATAAATGGAATAAAATATTGAAGGAGCTATTGAAGGAATGAATTACTCACGAGATAAACTACTTGTTAAATATCATAATCTGACACCTTTATCTGTGCACAGGTAACACTAACTGCTCAACATGAAGACAGACAGAAAAGCACTTTCCTGTGTAAGCCCTACTTTAAGTATTTCTAATATTCAAAAATAGGAGATAGCAAACAATATCCATAGATTAAAATGAAATCTCAACAATTTGACCATTTTAACAACAAATGTTAAAATATGTGCCATAAAATGGAAATGAACAAAAACAAGCCTATCATGATTAGATTGCAGAGGCAACAAAATCTCAAGATGTTTTTACTCTCATAACTTTACCAGCTTAAGTAGTACATACCTGTTCTTCCATTTTTGAGAGGCTGGTCTTTGGTATTTCTAAAAATAAACAGATAATTTAGGATTTTTCAAAACACTTGCAAGATGACAAACACCCACGAATAAAGAATTGTTATCACCAAAACACTCGTGCAATGACTTTTCAAGCATAATGTGCAAAACCCTTATACATTGTTTCCTCTTTGTTAACAAAGAAGTAAAAATAGAAGTATTCACTAGTGATTTAATCTGGATGCAGGTCTAGTTAGGAATCCTATGTATATGTCAGTGCTAATGTGAATATGAAAAATACCTAAGTGTCAAGAAAGCACAAGAAAACTGCAGAGTAGTTTATGTGAAAATGTTCTAAGCTGCAATGGGCTGAAATTCTCCTTGTTTGGGAGGAGAGGGCTACTAAAAATCACAACAATTTCCATTACGGGGAAGGACAGGGGGAATGGAGAACTTAACAAGGGGAAAAGGTTTACCTTCTTCTGTTTTGAGATTTCTGATTAGAGGTAGACAAAGAACTGCAGAACATTGATTCTAGCTTGCTTGCTTTGGCATGTGGCTTTCCTTCTTCCATGATCAAATCTTGTGCTGACCCAGGCGTGGTATTCTTTTCTTTCTTCACTATGTTTTTCCGAAGTCTATCCTTTTCTTTTGCTGAAGAAAGATGGGTAACTGCTGCTATCTTTTTCTTTCTTTTTACTTTGCCAATGAAGAAATCATCATTGCTGTCACTGTCAGAATCTGATGACTGGTTATAAAACCTCTCTTCAGTACTATCATCAAAGTACTCCTCTTCATTAGGATGTTCCTTGCCACTATCATCATTCATTATTTCTTTTGTTGCATTTAATTTGTTCATGCTCATATTTTCTTTCCTTTTTTGATAGCCAAGTTTCTTTCCTGTTTTATTCTGAGTGACTGCTTGTATTTCTACTGTCTGAAATGAAGATTCTTCTGGAAGATACGCTCTCTCCATTTCCACAGTTTTCTGCTCAGATTCATTCTCACACAGTTCTTCAGCCACCCTGTCAGTTTCTATTTTGACACTCATTTCTGTTTTGTGTTCACGTCCTTGCTGGTTTTGAGCTAGTTTAAGAGCTTGGTCACCCAAATTGCTACTGAAATGTTGCACTGATTTAGGCTGTTCTGACTTAGCCTTTTTCGAAGGAGTGGCTTCGTCTGGGTTCTTTCTTGCATCCTTAAAAGCTTTTACAGCAGCTATACAAGGGACAGAAGAAAAATCTTTTGTTGCAGCTACACGAGTTTACATACGTTATTTTAATATAATAAAACATTTTTGCAAGTTTAATATGTTGTATTGAGTAAGCATATTTTGAATGTCTATCAATCATTTACTGAACACACGGGGCAAGAAATACCTTAGAGTACAGCATCAACAAAAGTGAGGAAAAGAACTTGAAATTATTTGCAATTGAATACACTGTTAAACTTGCGTTTAACTGTGAACTTCTCTTTCAGCAAATAATCTGCAGCTGATAATCATGTTCATTTACGGCACTATTTTGTGTGTAAAAACTGCAAACAAATAGTATATTGCTCAGACATAATTAAATGGGTATTTGACATGCTCTGTTATTAACAAAGTAACTTTGTGACGTTATTACTAAGACTTGACCCTTTTAAACATCAATTTTAGTTGGAAAATTTGAGTTTAAATAGAAAAGGAGGTAACCTAAAGAACGAGGAAAGATTCTCTAAGGATTCTGGGGACAGTTTCCAGGGAAGTTTAAGGGAGTAATTTGCAAAACCTTTTAGCTGCCTTTGCAAACTCAGATGTAATGCTCCTTCTACCTTTGTATCTGCATGCTATTGTGCTCACTGCCAGTTTAGTCCTATTATTTAGAGATACTCCATCTTATCCACTGAATTTTTAGAGTTCCCACTATGAACCCTGTTTGCCCTACAACCTATATCTTAAATGTCATATAGCATACTGTCATGTATAAGCCCATTTCAACCAATATAAATGACTACAAGCTTGTGACACTTGTTTCACTGCAGCTAGTTAAGGTAATTGCAGGAGCTTTTTGGTTTTTTACTTTTCTTTTTATACTGGTTGTTCATGTCAGGAATATACAGGAAGAAGGTAACACACCAATAAGCTACTGAAGTCATAAACAAGTTAATACAATATTTCATACCTTTAAGTTCAACAAATCTGGGTTTCAAGATGGGGTGTGTTGCAAGTCTTGCAATGGCTCTCTCAGCTGCAGTACAATTTGGCTATTACAAAATAAATTCAAAGGCATGAAGTCAATAGAATGGTGGATACTTACACGGGTCTGTATCAGTTACGCTACAATGCATACTAATGCCATTCTGGATTATTAATGGAACAAGAGGAAAAGCTTACGTCAATAATATTTGAACATTTCTTAATTTTCTTGTATTTCTGTAATTCTAAATAAGGAAAAATCTGACTGCCCAAACATTGACAGAAACGTAACAGATATGTAAATCTGCTATTTCTCAGGTACGAATAGGGATAACACGATTTTTTTTTTTAAGCATACCAGATACACCTTTCAGAGCTAACATGCTGTTTTTACATTCACTATGTCTTACATGTGCAAAGCAAATTCATGAACCCCCTGAAAAAAGAACACCATATTGGTACAAGGCATTCTGCATGAAGGAACACAGCAGCTTGCAAGAAGTGCAGTATGGATGCCATAGAAGTAGGCAAAATGACATAGCAGGTATTTAAGGAATATACATCAAATGTGGTTGACAGGCAAGGTCTAACCTGATCTTAAAGACAAACAACCTTGAATTTGATGTGGTAGAATATTGGAGCTCGGCAGAGTGATTCAAAGAACAAGTATGATCTTCATGCTTTAATTTGAAGAAAAAAGAGAAAAGTAGGAATTGCTTCCATTTCTGACTTCCTCTTTTAAATATTAGAAGTCACAGGTATGACACATTGTAAAAGCTATCTCATTTTCAGGTTCTTGTCATCACTCTGCTTGAAGAACAAAATGAGAGGTATCTAAGACTTTTCCAAAGTCAGCTTTGTCTTCTTTTTTTTGAAGGGAGGGAAAGGGCTGTAACAGGCTTGTAAAACACAAATTTAGCAGGAAGATTTCTTAAAGCCTGCAGTGGAATTCTTTGGGAGGGAGGAGAAAAGCCACACCTTCCTCCCTTCCTTTTAGTGGTACTGTAATAGGTATATGTTCAAATTGTTGCTACCTGTGATTTGAGCTATATGCTGCAGGAAGCGCTACAGCAGAAGCCACCCAAACCAACAGATGATGAGCCTCGTAAAGAACCAGGCAAGCGCCCTGTGACCCAAACCTGAGCTGGTTTTGGTGCCCAACAAGTCAACGTGACATGCTGCCTCTCCTGTCCTAAGTAAGCACCACAACAGATGGAGCCCAAGTCACAGACATGTAAATGGTAGGGAATAAGGGGTGGAGAACATACTGGCTCTGCCCTGGGATGGTTACCTTTCTTCATAGCAGCCAAGATGCTGCTGTGCTTTGGATTTGTGACTAAAACATTTTAGAGTTGGCAACACACCAATGTTTTAGTTATTGCTGAGTAGTCCTTGCACAGCATCAAGGCCTTCTCTGTTTCTCACTCTGCCCTCCCAAAAAGCAGAAAGGAGGTGGGCAAGAGGTTGGGAAGGAAACACACCTGGGACAGCTGATCCAAATTGACCAAAATGATATTCCATTCCATATCAAGTTGGGGTCAGTAATAAAAGCTCAAAGGAAGGAAAAGGAAGGGTGGATATTTGTGGTTATGGCATTTGTCTTCTCAAGTAACTGTTATGTGAAATGAAACCCTGCTTTCTGGGATGTGGCTAAACATCTGCCTGCCAATGGGAAGTAGTGAATAAATTCCTTATTCTCCTTTGCTTGCACACTCAACTTTGCTTCACTTATTGAACTGTCTTTATCTCAAGCCACCAGTTTTTCTCACTTTTGCTCTTCTGATGCTATCCCTACCCTGTGGGAGTGGGGTGAGTGAGTAGTTGCTGGGTGCTTAGTCGCTGGCTGGGGTCAAATCACAACACAAACACTACCTAACACATCAGCAAGGCATGTTAAAAGTATCTGATTTGCTTGACATAAGAGTGCTCCATGGGGAATCTTACTTGTTTGTATGTACATTTTCTTCCAGCAGAACTATGCCACTTAGTATAAAGAGTTATGTATTCATTGCACAAAGATAGATGGACACTTCGTGCCAACAAATAGTGCAGAGGAGTCACTTTCAGTGCTTTGGTCTGAAGGAAACAGAGAAGAGGACACTACAGCCACAGCAGAGCCAGTACTTCTAAATGCAGAAACATTTAATTGGTTTGCGAAATGTAAATCTTGTTCTGCAACCAGTGCAAAGCAAATCCCATGTGTATTTCTTTTGCTGTAGTTCTAGAGCTTACAAAATATACTCTGCATATGTCCACTCATATTTCCTGTTTGAAGTGCAGAGCATCTGGGAATTCTAGTACTTTCCTTTCTCCTCAAGTCTCTGCTATTACAACGTTATTTCTTCAGGTCAAGAAAAGCTGGAAAAACGTTTTCTCTGTAGACTGTCTACAGAAGTATGAACACTGGCCAGAGAAGACAGGTCAAAAGATGGGTCCATTTCCAAGGGCCAAAGACTGGCTTACTTTCAGGTTAGCCTAGCTCTGAGAACTTGAAATCTGAATTTTGATCCCCATGTGACAGTGCTGCATGCTGCGACCAGATTCCTGGGACAGCAAGCTCACATTTCCGAAGATCAAACACTATTTTCTTTGGAGATTTTTCTATAGCTGGAAAATCTATTTCTGAACTTAATTAATACACTTTTTCCCTCAGCTACTTCCTGTGGGTTTTGAAAGAATATACCATGAAGTTCAGAAAGCAGCAGCAGCTTCTGTGCAACATCTGGTGTCCTTTAATTCAAATATTTATAGAAAGGGTTTAAGCATATACATGCCAATCCATATGGAATAACCACATTTTTTCCTTATAGCAAAATACTTCACAACCACTACTCATGCTGATAGACAGTAGCCAACAAACATACAATATGACATTCACATTCTTTAAAATTTCCCATTTTTCTCTTTTTTGGCACATCCAATTCTCAATTTATTTTTCCTCAAGTATTTTCCAGTATATAAAACCTTGGCAGAAAATAAAACTTAACAGAAAAACGTCAACTGTATTTATAGCAAGAACACCCTTTCCGCCTCCTCCTGCCCCCAATATGTTTAATTATGCAGATACTGCAATTGCACACATTTATTCTCATGTGTTCCTGCTACTTCTTGTATTATTTTGCACTATTCATTTTTTCACACAAGAATGTCCTAGTACTTTCCATAGGAACATTCTCCCTCATTCAGTGTGCAACTGAGGTGCTGCAAAGTGAACAAAGCAACTGAGCCGTGTATAGTCACACTTTTCAGTGAGAAGTTGTAAGCTACATACAGAACTACCTGAAAGTCAGAGTCTCCTCAAACTTTTTATATTGGTAAGTGATGCATTATTTCTGTATACAGTATTAAAGACGTCCATCCATCATCATTGACATGTTTCATCAAACTCCATGTGGACATTTAACTGAATTAACTGCACTGACGTCTCTATTTTCAAATCTCTTAAAATGAAAGGAAACCCAAACTGCATAAACAAGCATTCTTCATCCTGAATGGTAGATGTGCACACAGATGCACAAACTTCAAAACATAACTTGTCAGTTACAGCATAATAAAGCAACAGTTGCATAACTTACACATGTGCAAACACATATGCATGCCCCACATAAGAGAGACAAACTTTGTACAATGTGGCAATGACTGGGAAGAGAATGGACATTACAAGCTTGCTAAGATAAAAACAGATTCACAATGCAACTTTTGCGATGTGCTGGAATAGGGGTCAGAAGTATGGAATGGCTCCGAAAGCTGGCAGCATTGGGTAAAAAAAAAACATCAGGCAGAAGTTGTGTGGGTAGTACCTACTTCATACAACACAGGTGATAAAGTGAGAACAAGAAACTGAGTGTCACTGCCATACCCTTTGGAGCAGCTTAGGAGAAGAGCTGTCTCTCTACTAAAAAAAAAAAAACCAGAAAACCTGTTAAGCCACACGTTCTCCCCAGAGCTCCAACTAGTTACAGCTGTCCTTCATAATAGCAGATGTGGTTAATGTGGAGTCACAGGGTGGCTCAAGGTGCCAGATCATGGCTGCCATCCAAGTCCATGCCATGACCTCATACTGCTTTGGAATAAGACCCCTGAGAAAAGTTACTTTCTGACTGTGAAATGCTGCTAGTCCTCCCTCTTCCTTTACGTCTGTAAGACATACAATATATAACTTGTGGCCATCAGATATGGTGAGATATTGGTACGAGAAGCAATTGGCTATTGGTATCACTCGTGGCAGCATTGTTGTCTCTCAGCTAATAGCAAGAGATTGTTTGTTAACTGTGGTGCCATTGACCCTGGCTGAATACCAGGTACCCACCAAAGCTGCTCTATCACTCTCCTCCCTCAGCTGGACAGGGGCACGCTGCCGCTCCTTCCTCCTCAGGAGAGGACTCCTCACACTCTTCCCCTCCTCCAGTGTGGGGTCCCTCCCATGGGAGACGGTCCTCCACGAACTTCTCCAACGTGGGTCCTTCCCACAAGCTGCAATTCTTCATGAACTGCTCCAGCGTGGATCCCCCATGGGTCCACAGGTCCTGTCAGGAGCCTGCTCCAGCGCAGGTTCTCCATGGGGTCCTTTGGGCACATCCACCTGCTCTGGCGTGGGGTCCTCCCCGGGCTGCAGGTGGATATCTGCTCCACCATGGACCTCCATGGCCTGCAGGGGGACAGCCTGACTCACCATGGGCTTCACTATGGGCTGCAGCGGAATCTCTGCTCCAGCACCTGGAAGACTTCCTCCCCCTCCTTCTGCACTGACGTTGGTGTCTGCAGAGTCGTTCCTCTCACATATTCTCACTCCTCTCTCCAGCTGCAATCGTGCAGTTTTTTTCTCCCCCTTCTTAAATATGTTATCCCTGAGGCGCTATGACTGTTGCTGACGGGCTCAGCCTTGGCCAGCAGTGGGTCCAACTTGGAGCCAGCTGGCATTGGCTCTGTCAGACACAGGGGAAGTTTCTAGCAGCTTCTCACAGAAGCCACCCCTGTAGCCCCCCTGCTCCCAAAACCTTGCCATGCAAACCCAATACATTCACTTTGATAACAGGAGGATGGATCAGCTAGGGAATGCAGTAAACAG